TAAGAGAGAGCGAGGAGTCCCACATATTTCATATTTGTTGCGTTTAAATTAAAATAAAACTATAGCTAAGTTTAAACTTTAGTTTTGTACTTTTATGTAATAAATACTTAATAAACATCAAACTTCCACCAGAGTTCGTTTACGTACTAAACTGCGTACAGAGACGCAGAGGTCTATGGACAGTTTGCTTGTACATATAATATTGTATATGCATTATGCATATTAAAAATCGGCAATGTTCAAGTATTTCATGTCACGAGGATAGTTTAACAGATAAATATAAGAAATTTTAAAAACAGATCACTCAAATTTCAGTTTCTAATTACTTTATCAAAGGAACAATTGGTTTGCGGCCGATTTTTGACGCTTGCGTCAATATGTTTCTTGTTTATACTTCTCTGCACTGTTGAAAGTCTACTGTCCAAAATACTGGAAAACTGATTCAAAATTTCATTGTTGGCCTGTTGAATTGACCGATTTATTTGCTGTTGAACGTCCCCGGCGTCCATAATTTAGCTGTTGCTCACTTAAGTCGGCGGCTAGAAGTGACCAACCTTTAAAAACCAGTTCTCTACTACACCTCAAAATCAATTTCTATTGGTCACTCTCTGACCAATCCACACAACATGCGTATAAACATCTTGTCATTAATACAACATTTTCCCGCTATACTAGCGAAACGCGGGAAAATATCATTATTCTATCTAATGCATAATACTGATAATTAGTTGGTTTACAGTATCATGATTCAAAATAACACATAACAGAAAAATATATTTATACTTACATGAAATGGATATCACACTGTGCATATTCATTCTTCTCCATTACATATTATCAAATATAGCTGCAATCTCGAAATGTTAAGTGAACGGAAGAAAAAAATGGTAATTTTCTAATGCATCCAAAGACATTTATTTGTAAAAGGAGTTTCTGAAATTAATCTAATGGATTCAATAAAAAGAAAGGTCAAAGTCGAAATAAAATGTTGATGCTATTGAATACTTATCATCAATAAGTATAAGCATATGAAGTTTGGTAACAATATCTTGAATTATTTCTTTAAGCTGACTTACAATTTGATAAAAGTGAGGTCAAAGGTCAAATGAAAGGTCAAGGTAAAAAATGTTGATGCAGTTGAATTGCTTACATCGATACGTATCAGCATATGAAGTGTGACACTAATTTAGGAAAAGTGTGGTCAAAGGTCAAAGAAAAGGTCAAGGTCAAAAATGTTGATGCATTTAAATATTTCTCATTAATATTTGTCAACATATGAAGTTTGATAAAAATATCTTGAATTATTTCTTTAAAATTGACTTAAACACAATTTTATAAAAGTGAGGTCAAGGTAAAAGGAAAATTCAATGTCAAAATGTTGATCCAATTGAATAGCACTCCTCAGTATGTATCAGCATATTAAGTTTGATAATGCTATCTTGAATGGTATCTTTAAAACTGAGCTACATATAGATTTACAGCGCGAACTGACCATCAGACACTTGTCTGGTTATTCAAACTCCTCAGGGAATCTAAAGGGCGTTGCCCGCTGGTTAGAAATTCTTTCTTACTTTTAATTTTCAGTTCAATATCGCCCTGGTCACAAGCATGGGAATGCGGATGCTATGAGCAGATGTGAGATCCCTGCAGATTGTACTGGTCCTGAAACAAACAACTTAGAATATTAAAAATGTGTACACTGCAATAAATGTCAGAAAAGATCTTTTAAAATGTGTAGTTTTTTCTTACAGAAATACAACATGGAACAACATCCCTGTTTCCATGCTCCTGACCAGAGTTTGGAAACATGTGACATTGAAGGACAAGATCGACAAATCAGGGCAGTAAATACTAGACAACAAACACAGAACAAAGAGAAGGGTTACACTACATTTTGGACAAAATACAGTAGAAGTCAATTACAGGAAGATCAGCTAAATGTCAGATCCAGACATAGATCAAGTGTATGAATGGGTGAAGAACCAGAGTAGGCCTGACAGGTCAGAACTTGTGGAACAACGAGCCTATATATTATTACCCATCTCAGACGACATCGCAACATTGACCTGTTTGCTACTGTGAAACTTGGAGGCAATTCCGGTAGGTAAAATGGCGCGTCGAAAAAAAGTCATGGAATGTAAACCGATAATAAGATATCAATCAGAATTTTTAAGTCATAGTTTATATCAACTCAAAGCAATTTGGTAAAATATTTTATCTGCCATTACTTCCACGAATACGACATCAAGTGAAGTATCAACACAGTCAAACAGGTCAATGTTGTGATGTCGTCTGTGGCTTCAGAACGAGTATTTAGCACCAGTGGCAACATGCACAAGGACTTGTCTGAAACCTGTCTAAGCGGATCGATGCCTTGATTTTTCTGAAGAAAAATATGGGCAAATAACATTAATCTGTCATACACTTGTCCATTCAAAGAGAATGAAAAAAACAAGGATTTAAAATGTTTTATTATTGTAAATTCTTTATGCTTTAATCAAAAAATACTATCACCTCTTTAAAACAACATGCAAAAAATGGTGTATTCTCATTTGCCTGTATCGGCAATATGTATCGCATATCGCACCTCTGTATTACAATATGCATCGTATCGAAAAATTTCTTTCAATACCCAGCCCTAGAAAATATAGAAACTTAATGAATATTTTAAATTAAAAAACATTCTAAATATCTTTGATATTAACTTAATGGCAGTTGCTATAGAAACGGTTGTTTGGATTGATCGATTGATTGATTGTATACTGTTTAACGTCCCTCTCGAGAATATTTCACTCATATGGAGACGTCACCGGATGCCGGTGAAGGGCTTCAAATTTTGACCTTTACTCGGCACTCAGGGCCATTGAGCAGTGAGGGATCTTTATCGTGCCAACGCCTGCCGCTGACACGGGGCCTCGATTTTTAAGGTCTCATCCGAAGGACCCGCAACTTTCACTTCAAAGTGCCAAGCGATGGCGAAGGAACAGTTGCTACCCATTTTAACGACTAGGTCAGTCGCGGCCGAGATACGAACTCACGACCTCCCGATCACGGAGCGAGCGCTCTACCAACTGAGCTACCGCGAACGGTACGGTTGTTTGGAAATGCAGGGAAGACATTAACGCGTTTAAAATCATCTCTTTACAAATACAAAGAGGGAGACAAGGTTTGGTTCCTTAAGCCTTTCTCTACCGGCACATTTTAAGCGTTATTGCAGACCTTTTGACATGTCCTTATAAATCAATTTATAACTTTTTTATTCAAAGAGTAATCTGGCCATAATATATACCATTTTGTAGGGAATTTTCTGGAGATGATATTTCATAACTACCCAGGTACCTCGACTGACCTTGCTAGTGGAAATTGAGGTCAAAGGTCAAACAAGTGCAGAATTTTATTGCATTTTTTGACACATTTTAATCTTCAAGTTAAAAATTAAGAGTGATACACATTGAAATAGGAAATTCAGAATAAACACACAAAAGGGCATTATCCTTTACTACATTAACCACATAAACTTTTTTTTCAATTCTGCAAATAATGACTTTAAAAAGGTTGCTAAGCAACGGAGTATTTTTTCAATTTTCAGGCAGTATTTCTTGTTTTTTGCTCATCCCACACACATTTATGCATTCCATTACATTGTAAAGTCAAATGTGGGGTAATGATACTGAAAATAATATATATCAGATAATTGTCTTAAAGTTTGACCTCATTAGCTTAATTTTTTTAAGGTCAAGGGTCAAATAAGTGCATAATTTTAGAAATTTTTCCCAAAACTTTTCATCTTTCTTGCTAAAATTTTTACCAATGGATGCTAAAGATGAAAATTCTGATTTTACTCTTTAGAAGGCATCATACTGTATTGCAATATCCACAAATTATTTTTGTTCAAATTTGTGTTTAATGACCTTTAAATGGTTGCTAAGCAACAACAATATTCAATTTTTAGGTTTTATAGGTTTCTTATTTCTTATTCTAGACAGTTTTCAATGGTATCGTTTGTAGGATTTAAGGTCAAAAATAATGTATAAGGCATCCAACAAATAATTGTCGTAAGTATTGACCCTGAAATTTCTGTTCTTTGGGGGTCAAGGTCATATCAGTACAGAAACCTGCCTTAAATTGTAAGTATATATCAAATTTGAAATGCTGCAATTATTATGGACATTTTGTCCAATAACTGACACATAAAATTGTAAACAACAAAATCAACAGAGATATCACAAAAGTGAATAGTTTTGTTTTATTTTGGGTTTTTTTTCAAATCTTGGTTGTCCTTCAAAAAATATACCTCTGACTTAAGTAAACTGGAACAAAATTTGTAAGATGTGTTCTCAAGTATTTCAATCTTAGTGACAAATACTATTAAAATCATATTAAGGTAAAAATGTATTGCAACCAGTATCATACACAATAGAGTACTTATTTTGTTATTTTCAAAAACTAAGTCAAACACATTTTTTGTCATCTAGAATACATTGTATAAGAAAACATTTACAATTTGTCTTTTCTTACAAGAATTATTTTACATTTTTAAGTCTTTACTGGGTCACTTGTTAAAACAACTTTTGTCATTTTATAAGCATATGAAAAAACAGCAAAGATGGACAAGCACAGAACTTCAGCTACAATCTTTCACTCATCCAATTTATGTGGCATACAATTACTGAATTTCAGTAGCCAAGGATTTCTTTAGTATTTACTACTCTTCTCACAAACCCTTGACTTATATTGTCAAAAGTCAGAATTCCTTATATCACATGACATGATCTTGAATAACCACTTGCATCATTGATAGAAATAAAGAGCATTCCTAAAAGTGAAGTATTGATTGATTGTATCCGGCAAAGAATAATTAAGAAGCAGATAGGCTTATTTGGTAGTAAGTTTGCAGGTCTTTATCTCTAACTTTAGATTCCAGATTACATTATGTGCACATCATCTTCATGTTGAATAAACTCTCTGCCATCTCTCTGAAAGACCGATCGAGGAAACTCCTTTGATTTGACCAAGGCATGATCAGTTTCTAAATGTATTGTGTCCCGACTCCTGTAACAAATTAAAAAAAAAAGTTTTGAAAAAGCTTTTCTAATCGAATATGTATTTTTAACTAGATAATTCATTTTATACAGATATCTACAATTGACACATTGATATAACTTTCCTTTATAATATTGTTAAAAAGTCTTTATAAAGCATTTCAATGATATCATATATATTAAATGAATCACTGTCTAGTAAGTGTAGTATGCCAGGGCATCAACGATAGTGGGAAACATGGGATAATTTGCATAACGGGCGAAATCCGTTATGCATAAATTATCCCCTGTTTCCCACTATCGTTGATGTCCCTGGCATACTATACTAACTAGACAGTGATTCCTTATATTTCCATTTCATTGTGAAATAAAATTGTAGATTTAGACTTTAAAAATGTATTCAAATTACACTAAGACTCCCATGCCAAATTCAACAGCCCTCGCCCACTGACGTCAAACACAAAGGCAGCCGCAGGAGATTTACATGCATATTTGGCCTCCTTAGCGTCAGACACTGAGACAGATGTGCACAAGGTTTGCATGCATATTAGGCCTCCTTAGCTCCTGACTTATCGACCTGCCTAATTTACATTCCGGAAGAATTATCAAGAAATAAACTCCCCTAAGTTTTAAAGAGTTAACACAGAGAAAAAAAATTAGATATGGAAATATTATATTACATATGTCATATTTTGTCATACTTGTAGTTAAATGGTTTTGTGATGTCAGTGTATTATGACTGAAAAATTGCCAGCCTTGTACTAAACAATCATGGTTAATCAATTATAAATTTTAAAAATAGCATAATTAACCATGAATTTTATCAAATGCATGAAGTTTCCTCTTTTAGTTTCTGTTGTCAGGGTTGTTAAGAGAAAGGGCATGTTGGACTGAAAACTGTTACTTCAGAGAAAAATCCCTGGGACAAGGTGTTCATGTACATGAGCTTGTTTGTATGTTATTAAATGTCCCTCTCAAGAATTTCTCATATGGAGACACCACCACTTGTCAGTAACAGATGCAAATTTTTTTCTACACTCGACACTTACGGCTATTGAGCTGTGAGGGATCTGCCAGCACCTACTGCGACAAAAGACCTTAATTGATTTATATAAGTATAATATAAGATATTTTTATAGTGTCTCATCAGAAGGACAGGTTTCCATGTCTCATAGTAAGATTCGAACCTGCGATGTAAGGATCAACTCCTTACTTCGCGACTACAGGGCAGAGGCTCTAACCACTGTGCCAGTCGGGCTACTCATGCACCTGGGAGTGTTGACTAATAGCCATCCAATGGCAATGAGGAATTTTGACTGCAATAAAATTGACTTACTAATAACTAAGCACCTATATCCTCCACATCATGGTATTTTCTGTGCATGGTGGCCATTGGTTGGGATTAGCAAGTGGGTCTTCACAGACGAAAGTTCTGAAGCCTTTGGTACCAGCACACTACACATGCTAAAAAAATTATGTGTTTGTGTTAATTATGTCAAGATTCATTTTTCTTTGAATGGTATTTAGAGGTGGTCATGAAAACTTACCCACTTCAAAAACAACACAAAAATAAGTCGAAGTTATTCGAACTCATCATCGCAAAACACGGTTTGGATGTTCAGGCCAACAATACAAAAATTGATTTGTTTGATGTACTCTGACGACCTGTCAAAATTGCCCCTACCCAATATTTTTTTCAGCACTTTAAACTTTTATTTTTTCTTTTTAAATTTACTAAAATTGTTTCATTTTAAAGCAAAGATGTATAATTTCTATAGGATGCTTTTTGACTGAAAGTTTTTTTTATAACAATAAACTTGTGTAGCTAACAAACATGTCAAATGTGTACTGCTAAGAAATCTGTGATTTTATGACAGTTATAAATTTTTCAGCAGTGTAAACCACCCGAAAATTAATGACCTACCTACCCATCTTGAAAAATGTGGGTCGGAATAAAAATCGAACAAAAATATTTTATTGATCAGTCAACACAGTATTCGGATTCCATATTGAGAAAACAGTGACATTGTCTTATAAACAATTTTGTCATTGAAAAAAAAAAAGTTTTTGTGATCGTTGAAAGAACCGAAAAGTATCATTTATAGGTTACCGACGATGTCAAATCAGCGAACGGCTTCATTTCACATGTACATGTGTAGCCAGGGTCCAGTCTATACTACTATAGTATATGTCCTTGGTAGTCTATAATGTCTTTCATTTCAGTCTATGTACTTTAAAACACTTTTAAACTTTTCAATCAATACTTACTCACATCTAATGCCAAAGAAAAGACCCGTCATATCTGATGAATTGACGTGTTCTCCATCGTAAAATAATCATGAAAATCCATGTTGCTGTTTACTGCTATAGCGGAAACACGTGTTAGTCTCGATTAATATCAACTCATACCGTAATGAGTCGTGTAAATGCGAGATTTTGTATTAAATCATTGTGTTTCAAAGTTTTTTAAATTTCAGGTCAGTATATGTTTAATTGTATCTTATATTAAGAATATATTTTAAAGCAAACAGCAATAACATCTGATTTTTTTGACGTAGACCTTTAGGAATCAATTTTTTTTATCAACACTGAATGAACTTAAATAAACAAAAATACATATGTACTACATTTCTCTAAAGGTGTAAAGATAATTACTGTTATTTTAAACCATTTTTTTTAATAAAGCATCTATTTAAATAAAAATATTTAATTGAATATAATAGTACTAAACATGTTGTTCCGAATGAGGCGCAACGAAAAGGACCTTGACGTTAAATATTGACTACATTCGATTTTTCTACAAAAAATTACGCGGAGGTTCAAAATTCAAACTATGGTAATTCAGAAAATATCGAAAATAAAGAGACCAGTGAAGGTTTGTTGAAATGGAAATTTGCTCCACTTTTAGCAGTTGTATTTTGTTTTCCCTATTTCAACACAGAAGTAAAGGTAAAACTGCGTTTAATTTAAATATTACGAATAAAACCCAGAAAAATCACATGCGTGGAAGAAAATTCTTGTTTTTACAAAGTATTTAAAAGTAAAAGCAATAATTTTTACATATTTTAAAAGCAGAGAAAATATCCTTTGTAAATATATTAATTTTATTTAAATGATTTAATCAGGAAAAAATATATAAATCGTCGGGAAAATCGTCCTTGCTTTGGAAAATTGCCTCATTTTCAAAAAGTCATGAATGTCTTCAAAACGTAAAATTTATTCATTACCGATTAATAAGGCTCGCAATTTTTACAGGGTCTGAAAGTAGAGAAAATTTCCTAAAAGATGATATATAGATTATATACATTAATGCTATTATTAAAAAGATAACGGAGGTCCTGTTATCGCGATGTGGTGGTTTAACGCGCTATCGGTCATATTGACCGATGCGGTAGGGAAGGGGTTAATGAAGGACACAAAGATGGAAAGCTAGGATATCTGTACAATTAAACAGAAGCTTTCTGATATTCAGAACTCCGGGAATGGTGTCACAAAAGTTGTGCATCATGATAAACTTAAACCGCTTTACGTTCAGACGTAAAATTATTTATTATAGGAACGTATACTATAGATTTAATTTACGTGTTATTTCCAGTCAAGAAGAATTCTTAGAAGATCCAAGAAGTAAATACATTGTAGGTGAAATATTGAATCGCCACACATTATGCATAGTATATGGAAGAGCTGCAGTCGTCGCTTAGAGATTTCACTAAAGAATAAAACGGGGGATCATGAGTTGGATTTAAACTTCAAGATTTTTTTTCACTCAGGTGACCTATTGCTATCCGTTTTCGTTCGTCGTGTGTAAACATTTTAATATTTTCCAGCTTCCTCTCTGAAACCACTGAACCAATTTCAACCAAATTTGGTATACAGCATTTATGGATAAGGGGGAACAAAAATTGTGAATTTTATGGTCCCTGCCCCCCTGGCTCCTGAGGGTTGGGACCAAAACCACTAAAATTAATGAAATCTTTAAAAATCTTCTTTATCCTGGACATCAAGCAGCCAAACTGTTGGTATGAATGTAACGAGCATTGAGTCCTCTACCAAAATTGTGAATTTTATGGCCCCAGGGTCAGGGGTTCTGGTGTTAGGGCGGGGCTCTATCAATAATATATTGAAAATGCATTAATCCATTGAAAATCTTCTCTGTTCCTGGGTATTGAATAAACTTAGTTCATAGTTATTATGAATAAGAGTGCCTCTTCCAAAATTGTGAATTTTATGGCCCCAGGGTCAGAGGTTCTGTTGTTAAGGCGGGGCTCTATTGATTATATAGTGAAAATGCATTAATTCTTTGAAAATCCTCTTTTCTGCTCCTGGGTTTGAAATAAACTATTTAAGTACAAAGTTATAATGTACAAGAGTGCCTCTTTCAATGTTGTGAATTTTATGGCCCCAGGGTCAGGGGTTCTTGAGTTAAGGCGGGGCTCTATTGATTATATAGTGAAAATGCATTAATTCTTTGAAACTCTTCTTCTCTGCTCCTGGGTATTGAATAAACTAACTTGGTATATAATAATTATGTAATTAGTAATTATCAACCAAATTTGTGAATTTCATGGCCCCTGTGTCGGGATTTTCCATTTGGTGTAAGGGGGGGGGGGGTCTTTTGATTATATAGTGAAAATACATTGTTTGAAAATCTTTTCCTTTGCTCCTGGGTGTTATGCTAATGATCCAAGTATATATATTTATGATGAAGAAAGGTGCATCTAGCAAAATGATTAATTTCATGCCCGTTGGGTCATTGGTCTCCGGGGGGGGGGGGGTTACGTAGTCTGAGAATAAATGAATGCTTTGAAATCTACTCTTTGATATTAATCAACCATTTATGAAGAAATAAAATTTATAAAATTTCCAAAATTTTGAAATATGTGGCCCCAGGCTCAGTGATTCCTTTGAGGTGGTGTGCACAACTGGTTATAAAGTGGAAGTGCATTTTCTCTTTGTTACTTTGGTCTACCTCTGGGTGTTTAGTAAAAAGAGTACTAAGCATGCATAGTTTAAAATTGTGGTAAGCATGTCTCTTTCAAAAATTGTGAATTTCATGGCCCCTGATCTAAAACACGAACCAAATTCAATTGTTGAAAAGTTGTTACATAATACTCAGGTGACCTATAAGGTCCTTGGGCCTCTTGTTGCTGATGGCTGACCTTCAAACATCTAAGGAAATCCTTAAACGGGACAGGGCATATTGGGGTTTGCTTTGCGATAAGCAAGTTGGCGAGAAGCGTTACGTGGTCAGTCACATAAACAAGTATTATACTCCTCTTGACTCCATTCCGTATTACTGCTCATTATGCTACTTCCAAACTGACGAGGCAACCAAATTAAGAGAACTTCAAGAACTATGCGAAGCACAAAGAAGCGAGGGAAGGCTTATTAAAACAAGAGAAGTTACCAGAAGCAGAGGAATTTTACCTAACAAAAACAAGGAGGGCATTGTGGTTGCAGAAGATGTGCCTTCTAAGCAGGGAGGAGTCGAGAAAGATTTGGATGGAGAGAATCCAGAAGTCAGGATCAGACCAGCCAAGCCACCCTTCTAATCCCTCATCGACTGTTAGCTGTCCTCCCTCAGAAGCCATACCTACCTCTCTGCCTTCGTCTTCTACCAGCTGTCGTCCTCGTCAATGACAACACCTTTGGCCGCAACAGCAGTTATATCTGAATCCAGCACCATGTCAACCCATACCACCGCCCCAGTGTTCCCAGATCTGCTGCATCTCCAGGATCCTGATGTATTCTGTTTCTTTCTTATCTGAAGACCAAGAATCCTCTAGCATCTCTACACCCGTATATACACCTCAGGAGGAAGTTAAGGAGGCTATCAAATTACCAGAGCCTAGGAAACGAAAATCCAGTCTCCAGTGAGAGAAAAGTCCACTTTAACCAGTATTAGAAGAGACAAAACTCCAAATAAACCTAAGTCACCAGAGAAAGAATCGAGGAAAAGCCAAGTACGAGATGAGACCAGACCAGACGAGAAAGAGTCGAGGGAAAGCCAAGTACGAGGTGAGACCAGAAGAGACGAGAGATTGATTGATTGTATACTGTTTAACGTCCCTCTCCAGAATATTTCACTGATATGGAGACGTCACCATTGCCGGTGAAGGGCTGCAAATTTAGGCCTATGCTCGGTACTTACGGCCTTTGAGCAGGGAGGGATCTTTATCGTGCCACACCTGCTGTGACACGGGGCCTCGGTTTATCCGGTCTCATCCGAAGGACCGCCCCATTTAGTCGCCTTTTACGACGAGAAATGGGGTACTGAGGACCTATTCTAACCCAGATCCACATGGGGCAAGAGACGAGAGAGAAGAGATCTAAGTTACCAACGAGGTTAATGTTTGACATGGTAAACCATATGTTTCACCTGCAAAACACCTTGAGAAACATCCATCACGAGTTACAGATGCAAACAGATATCTTAAGGAGTATTAGGGACAACCAGTACCAATCTCAGCAGCATACCGGGGGAATTTACAGAGAGATGAAGCACCAACTGCAAATTGAATTGAAATTATCTTATAAATTAAGTACTTAATCTGCATAATATTGGTTATTAATTAATTTGGGAAGTTAAGTATTTTTGTGTAAGGGATTTTTCACAGACGACTGCAGCCAATTATTTTCTTGTAAAATTTGGATTTTTGATTAATTTTTGTTAATTTGATTAACTAGTAGTACTATCTCTCATTAAACCATCATATCAAGTTATTTAACTCTTTCTCTTATTATTATCCCCTCGCGCAACTAGTTATACTGACTAAAGTCAGTTAACTAGTTACAAGGGGATATAGCATCGCGCATGTGCGTATGTTTGTTAGTGTGTTCGTTACACTTTGTGGGCACGATTGACAGAAAACCTTTGCATTAACCATTCTCAGCGTTTACATACCTGTGTGGCAGTATAAAAGGACGAAGCCTATTCATTTTCAAGTTCATTGATGAAATATTTCTTCTGATATCGCGTTTTTACTGCCTCGAAACCCTGACATTTTAAGTACGAGTTGACAATAATCATTTGTGGGCAAGATTGACAGAGAACCTTTGCATTAACCACTCTCAGCGTTTACATACTTGTGTGAAAATATAAAAAGATGACGCCTATTCATTTTCAAGTTCATTGTTGAAATACTTCTTCAGATATCGCGCTTTACTGTCTCGAAACCCTGACATTTTATGTACGAGTTAACAATAATCATTTCTGCAAGGGAACCAATTTAAGAGCTAGTTAGAAAGCTTAAAAGACGTGTCAAGTCTGCGGGAACCAGATTAAAAGAATATGATGAACGTCGCGGTTTCATTACCAAATTCCAACAGGTGTCTGTGAATTTGGGGTGCACGTTATTCCTGAAAGCTGAAAATAAAATTCACAAGTTCAATTAACCTCTCGATGTACATTATGTTATTCATTACGAAAAAAATGCATATTGCTTGGAACTTTGAGATATCTACTTAGGTGGGTAAAAAATTAAAATTACTGAGACATATATATATATATAGCATACGTGATATGTTTGTGCTAGGTATAAGGGAAACTGCCCAATTACGTACATGTATGCATATTATGTCCCCTCCCTCCCCAATAAAATGCTATGCAATTTTGTTAAGAATAGACACCCCCCTCCCCCAATAATTTTGTTTAAAAAATGAATAGTGCTGAAAAACAATTTAATATCTTATATTAAACTTTACTACCCCAAATTAGGTATCTATGTTATGCCCCTCCCCCCCCACCACCAATTTGCATTTTGTAAAAATTGGATCAGCAACAACACACCCACTAATAATTTTGTCAAAAGTAGGGGAGTTGATCTTAATGTTGTGGGTTTGAATCCCTTCGTGGGCCGTGGAGACTGGTCCTTCGAATAAATCCGTGTAACCATGGGCCCATGTCCCAACAGATGCTGGCACAAAAAAATCCCTCACTGCTCAATGGTCGTCAGTTCCTATTATAGGAAAGAATGTGCAGCTCTCCACCGGCAAGCCTTCATATGAGCAAAAAATTCCTTAGAGGGACATTAAACAAAATACATTGTACTTTCAATCTTTAACATGTTTAACGTCCCTCGAGAGAATTTATCTCTTGTGAGATATCGCCATTACGCGAGGGGATGCTCCGCTCAGCGGTGCCCTTGTTTATTTTGCTGGAGTACATTTTCTTTTTAAATGTCTGCCTTGGTGTCTAATAAGGGTTGAAGCCGGTCATTTCCCCTCCTCTAGTTTACCGTCATACATATTTGGCATCCATATTTGGGATTAGCCATTCAGGTCATTGAGCGCTAACCCGCTACACTATGTATATAGTGTATCGCCTTAATATCCATGAGCAGAGGAAATGATTTTCAAATAATTAATAGGGGTGGGACGATACACTGATCATGCGATACGATACGTATCTCGATATTATAGCACGATACGATACGTATCTCGATATTACAATAATAAGAAAATTGTATTTAAATGAGTATTTTATTTGTCTTCTTGATAATAAATCAACAAAATATTTTATAATAAATTAATAATCAAATCAGATTTGCTTTGAAAATAATATCATATGGAATTGTGAATATTGTATCTGTTATACATGTATATCATTGACTGAAAATTAAACAAAATCATTAAACAATAAACATTTTAACATTTTTTGCCAAATGTCTTAACCAACTAAATCAAGGCTGAGTTTACAAATCAATGAATCATTTTTAATCCATTTGTTTATAATTTCGAAGTTTTTTTTAATGAAAATTAAGGAGTCCACACTGTCTTTGTTGAGAGTGGCCCTCTGGGCACTCACAATATCTCCAGCTGTGGAGAAGATCCTTTCACTTGGGACACTTGTCCCAGGAATACCCAAATGATATTTGGCAAGATGAGAAAGGTATGAATATTTGTCTCCATGAACTTTCCACCAGAGTAAAGGATTCCCTTCCACTGGAATACTTTCCTCTTTCCTGTAACTTGAAGCTTCTTCTGTAACCATATCTTGCAGTGTTTTGGTTCTTCTCTCCACTTTTTCAATGAAAACATCAGCAAATAAATCTTTTATAGTGCTAGAAGACTTGGATCCAGTGCTCAGAGCAGTAGCTTTGCTGCAAGATGGACCAACTTCATCAACAGGGTCTGTGAGTGTGTCTGATCTCAGCTTCTCCTGAGGGTCCTCTGGTTCAGTTTTGATTACAGTCTAAAATGAAATGCATGTTTGAAATAATTATGAATAAACTTCAATAATGTACATAAAAAATTATTTTTGTTTTGTATTATATATTTTATTTTTATTATTTTTAATATCTATATATTTTTTTAATTTTTATATATATATTTATAATTTATTAAAAAATTGTAGTTTTATATACCTTTTTCTCTGAGAATTCAATGGCTTTTTGGGTCATGGTGCTGAATATGGCATTTCGTTTGTCCATTGTAAGCTGGGGTAGACATTTAAACCGTGGATCTAGGGCTGCACTTATGATAAGAAATTCCTCAGTCTCTGGATTTGTGTACCTTTTTTGTAAGTTGGTCAGGATGTCCTGTTTCACTGAGCGAATAAGAGTTGTGTCCTCTTGCAAAAGGGTAAGTGATGAAATTATCTTCATTTTCATAGGATAAATCAGAGAAACAGTGGGCAACTTTTCATCACATAACACAGTGGTAATGTCTTTCAATGGCTTCAAAATCACCACTAAGTTTTCCAGGTTGGAAATGTCATTTTCACTTAATGTCACAACATCCCTCAGGTTCTTCCAGATATGTGGTTCTACAAGTGTTGCTACAATGCCAGCTTGTTGCTCTAAGTATCTTGAAACCATGTCAAAACTGCTATTTCATCTAGTGGCAACATCCATTATAAGCTTGTGTTCTGGTAGCTGCAATAGTTTCTGCTTTGTTTTGAGAGTGCTATTGGCAACTGAACTTCGGTGAAAGAAACTGACCACACGTCTGACTCTACTTAGAAGTGTCTTTACACAATCCACTTGTAAACCTTTCTGTGTAGCTAAATTCAATGTGTGGGCAAAGCACTTTAAATTAGGTCCCAGGTTGGCTGCCTTTATTGCCCCATCCATGTTGCTTGCATTGTCAGTAACAACAGGTATTTCTCCACCCATTCTTTGTAAGCCCCATTCATCAACTGCATTAAATAACACTTCACCAACATTTTCAGCTGTATGAGATTCACTGATGGCCCTTGTCTGTAGAACATAACTACACAGATTCCATTCATTATCAATAAAGTGACAGGTAATGGTGATATAACTTTCAACAGCTCTGGATGTCCAACCATCTGTTGTTAATGACACAAAAGGCACTTCAGATAACTTGCTCAGCAAGTATGACTTCGCATCACTATACATATCTGGAATCAAAGTTCCAGAAAAGTATTTCCTATATGGTATAGTATACCGTGGTTCTAAAGTATTTAACATTTTCTGGAATCCGTTGTTCTCAACGACAGAGAAGGGGCGCAAATCAAGTGCGATAAATAGGGCTATTGACTTGCTTATTGCTAGAGACCGGGCTAAATTAAGTGGTAGAGGTTTTGGAAAACATTGTGTAAGTGACGTTTGCTTTTTTACTGGCTGATTGTCCGTTTTTCCTTCAGTGTTGCACTGTGAATCCTCTGACTTCAAACGTTTAGCCGTCCCAATTTCGGGATGATGACGTTTCAGGTGAAACGAGAGGTTCGTTGTGCTACCTGTATATTTAAACTTTGAATGACAAGTTCTACACACCGCTTGCGTCTTGTCGACCTGTCTCTTGCCATTTTCAGTTGAAGCAACGAACCCAAAATGCTCCCATATCCATGATTTGTACGAACAAGGCGCGTTTTTAATATCTTCATTTCGTTCAGACCGTTGGGAAGCCGCCATTTTTCCATAACAATGTTACTTTCACTTTCATTTTTGATAAGTCGTTCGTGTATCGTTTCGTACCGATATTTCAATGGTTGTATCGTAAACCGTATCTTAGCACAAAATATCGATATGTATCGGTGTATCGGTATATCGTCCCACCCCTAATAATTAATGCATTTTTTACAATAAAATCCATAAAATCCCACCCTTACTTAGAACTCCTGACCAAGGGAACATGATATTCAAAATTTAAAAAAAGAGGCCCACGGGCCTTATAGGTCACCTGAGTATCATGTAACAACTTTCAAACAATGAAATTTGTTTTGTGTTTTAAACCAGAGGCCATAAAATTCACAATTTTGAAGGAGGCACTGTTGCTTATTATAATTATACACTTAGCATGCTTACTCGAGTTACTTAATACCCAAAGTTAGATCAGAGTAACAAAGAGAAAAGGCATTTCCACTTTGTAACCAGTTGTGCACCCCGCCCCACAGGAACCACATATTTCAAAATTTTGGAAATTTTATCATAACTTTTATTTCATCATAAATTATTTATTAATACCAAAGAGCAGATTTAAAGCATTAATTTATTTTCAGACTAAGTAACCCCACCCCCACCCCCCGATACCCCTGACCCGGGGGCGTGAAATTAACTATTTTGCTAGATGCACCTTTCTTCATCATAAATATGTATACTTAGATCATTGGCATAGTACCTACATGTAGAAGCAAAGAAAAATATTTTCAAAGAATTCATGCATTTTCATTATATAATCATTAGAGCCCCGCCCTAACACCAGAACACCTGACCCAGGGGTGATGAAATTGACAATTTTGGAAGAGGTATCCTTCCTAATCATAACTATGTTCATAGTTCATTGGTTTAATACCCAAGAGCAGTGAAGAAGATTTTTAAATAAAGAATCAATGTATTTTTACTATATAATCAATACAGCCCCGCCCTTACACCAGAAATCCCAACCCAGGGGTCATAATATTCACAATTTTGGTAAAAGCACTCTTGCTCTTGCTCTTACTCTTGCTAACAATATTCTAAGTTAGTTTGTTTAATACCCAGGAGCAAAGAAGAAGATTTTTGATTAATTAATAATGTATTTTCACTATACAATCAATAGACCCCGCCTTTACACCAGAACCCCTGACCCAGGGGCCATGAAATTCACAATTAAATTGGTCATCATAACTATGTTCTTAGTTAGTTTATCTAATACCCAGGAGCAGAGAAGATTTTTGAAAGAAATAATGTAATTTTACTATATGATCTATATAACCCCGCCCTAACACAAGAATTCCTGACCCAGGGGCCATGAAATTCACAATTTTTGAAGAGGCACTCTTGATCATCATTACTATGTACTTGGTTAGTTTGTTTAATACCCAGAAGCAGAGAAGATTTTCAAAGAAATAATGCACTTTTACTACATGATCTATATAACCCCACCCTAACATCAGAACCCCTGACCCAGGGGCCATAAATTTCAAAATTTTGATAGAGGACTCAATGCTGATTACAATCATGTAAACAGTTTGACTGTTTGATGTCCAGCAGTAAAGAAGAAGATTTTTAGAGATTGCACTAATTTTAGTGGTTTTGGCCCCACTCCTCAGGCCCCAGGGGGGGAAGGGACCATGAAATTCACAATTTTTGTTCCCCTTTACCCATAGATGCTGTATACCAAATTTGGTTGAAATTGGTTCAGTGGTTCCAGAGAAGAAGCTAAAAATCTTCAAAAGTTTACGAACGACGTACGACGACGGACGAAAACGGATAGCAATAGGTCACCTGAGTTTACCCAGGTGACCTAAAAAGACACCCTTATTAAATATAACTATCCATTAAATTTGTTTGTTTAATACCCAGGAGCAGAGAAGATTTTCAAAGAAATCTGCATTTTCACTATATGATCTATACTGCCCATCCCTAGCACCAGAACCCCTGACTTTGGTTGTAAATGACTTTTTAGTATTTTTACCATCATGCCAACAGCTTACTGCTGGATGTCCTTGAGTAAAGAAGACTTTCAAAGATTGCATTCATTTTGGTTGTTTTAGCCCCACCCAACAGGCCCCAGGGGGACAGGAGCCATTAATTTCTCATATTTTGTTCCCCCTTACCCAAAGATGCGGTATGCCGAAATTTGTTCAGAGGTTCCAGAGAAGAAGCTGAAAATGTTCAAAAGTTTATTACCGAGTGACGACGTACAATGAACGATGCCGGACGTGAACAGATAACAAATCGACACCTGAGTGACTCAAGTGACCTAAAAGTGGGAACCGATGGATATTTCATTCCCAACGAACTTACTGTAGTTTAATCGTTCAAATTAAAACCGACTTTTGCATTATACTTACATGCAATTACAATTCCTTAAAACTGTCCACTTTCTCACTTTTCCATTTGCTCAGCAGCATTACATATGTACTTCCCAAATGATGGAATTGGTGTTTTACGCCGAGTAGGCAATATTTCAGCCATATTTTGACTGGAAATAATGTTTATATGATCGGCTTTGTGAGTTTTTGGGTTTCTCTGGTAGCCCACAGTGAGTCTTCTGTTTTTTCGAAAACCACCTGCAGGGAAACGTGCTATCCCTGAACCGGGGTTCCATTTAACGTCCCATCCGACAGACTAACAAATTTAAAAATATTTTAACAGTTAAAGATAAGACTTGTGTGTTTATCAGCTAAGTATATTAGAATGTGTACCATAGAATTTTACTGTAAAAAATCAGTTTCATGTAAATAATCTAAAATTGTATTAACATTTGTAAGCAGTTCACGTATCGTTCGTACAGTATTGTAAACGAATAGGCGAAAAATCAGTACATTCTAAAAGAATATGATTTATGGTAAGATGACAGTCATTCTGGCTGTAATTCTCCATTAAATAAGTATACATGAGTTATTTTTGAATGACCTATACGTAGTCTTGAAATAATCACTTCGTCCTGACGTTTCAGACCGAAGTTAGATGATTAGTTGTTCACTTTGTTCTCTACTGCATAAAGTTTATTCGTATCACAAAACTCCCTAATAAACTCGCCAAATAGAATTTACATATTGATCACATCATATTTCAGGTCAGTAGAAGGAATTTTAAAAAGCGGTAATGTCATACTGAAGTGCCAGTTTTGCTGCATTATCAGCATCGGTTTCCAATGATGCCAGTATGACTTGGAATCCAACCAAAATCAACTACTTTACCTTATTGAGAAAAAAAAATGATAGTATTGAATTATTTCATGTAAAATATATGGTTGATCAGTATTCATATTTTGTATGGATTATAAGCGAGAAAGAAAATATTGTCAAATCGTTGTCATTAGAAAATGTAACATAATCAGATGCGAGATGTTTGGCTTTTGCTTCTGTTGTAAATATTGTTGCCTCATTTGGAAGCCGTTAAGAGAAAATCTTGGTTTTATTCACTGCAGCCGCTGATACTTCTTTTTGATTGATTGATTGATTGTATACTGTTTAACGTCCCTCTCCAGAATATTTCACTGATATGGAGACGTCACCATTGCCGGTGAAGGGCTGCAAATTGAGGCCCATGCTCGGCACTTACGGCCTTTGAGCAGAGAGGGATCTTTATCTTGTTACATCTGCTGTGACACGGGGCCTCGGTTTATACGGTCTCATCCGAAGGACCGTCCCATTTAGTCGCCTTTTATGACAAGCAAGGGGGTACTGAGGACCTCTTCTAACCCGGATCCCCACGGGGCTACTTTATTTTTGTCTTTAGAGCCATTTGTTTACATTTAGACTGTAGAATTTTTTAAATGTTTTATTTCGGCTGATTTCTGTTATAAAACAAGAGAATTTGTTTCTGGTTTCTTAAACTCAGTTAAAGATGTGTCTACATTTGGTTTTATTTATTTCCCAGGCGTTATTTCAGATGAATTTGTAGGTTTTATAATATCCAAAGGTATTTTGGAATCCCTGATATGTTTTCTAGATCTTAAATCATTTGGTTTAATACACGGTTTACTTTTATCATATATATTTTCATACTGCATACTAAAACACAATCATATGCAGGATCATTATAATTAATATTTGCTTTTAATTTGAGAATATACTGCAAGGTGAGTTTGATTCTTCTTAAAGTCCAGCGGTGGCTCATTTGCTTCGACATATAAACAATTTAAGGAGAACATTTGGTTTTATTTATTTCCCAGGCGTTATTTCAGATGAATTTGTAGGTTTTATAATATCCAAAGGTATTTTGGAATCCCTGATATGTTTTCTAGATCTTAAATCATTTGGTTTAATACACGGTTTACTTTTATCACATATATTTTCATACTGCATACTAAAACACAATCATATGCAGGATCATTATTAATATTTGCTTTTAATTTGAGAATATACTGCAAGGTGAGTTTGATTCTTCTTAAAGTCCAGCGGTGGCTCATTTGCTTCGACATATAAACAATTTAAGGAGAAGTTCGGAAATCTCCTAAGCACAATAGAAGGCCTTGATGATGGTCTGCGTCAAAAGCTTTCATGTATGAAACTCTTGCCGAGCCATATACAATGCAACCATGATCTAATTTAGATCGAACTAAACATATGCTAAAGAGCGATAGAGTTTCAAAAGAGTAACTTTATCTGCCCCCATCTCGTATTAGCAATGATTTGTAATACATCTAAAGCCTTTACATATTAACTTAACTAAAAAATATTTTCTCTCCTATTTCGATTACTGTTTGTCAGCAAGTAAACAAAAAATAGCATATATCACCTGTACACACTTCTTGAGCAGTTAATTAATACGCATAATGGCGTACATATCAATTATTCACTATTTCATCTAATAATACCGAGAGTACTCAAAAAAATACTTATGCGTATTAAATTAATGTAAAACTTAAATTACTAATTTTTTAATCATATCGAGACGCCACCACTTACGGGTAGGGGTTGTAAAGGACGACGCACGCTAACTCTCGATTCAGTCCCACGTTTTACACCCATTTAATTCTAATAGCAATTTGGCCA